AAAAAAAAAAAAAGAATCAGAGATGTAAAGATTTAATAACATGTATTGTCTTATGGTTAATGTTAATGGTTATGGAAAATGTAGAAGAGGGGATTGAGGCATGGCGGATGTCTTGAAAATCCCAAGAGGAAAATGTAGAAGAGGGGATTGAGGCATGGCCATCACCCCTGGAGGGTGATTTCTCACTTTCTGTTTCTCTGTCTCTTTGTGTCTCTGGTGAGCACATGTACCCTAAAGCAAAAATCTCTCTCTTTGGGAAAAAAGAAAAAGCTTTGTCATTGGTCCATCAGATGGTATAATGGTTACATTGCTGGACTCCCACATGGCCAACCATGGCTCAAGTCCCAGATCCGGTGGCTTGAAACTCACACCAGTCACATGTACATGCATGCCCAAAATCCTGAAAGGAGAATGGAGGAGAAGAAATTGATATATGGCCATCATCCCTGGGGTGTGGGGGGGTTATTTCTCACTTTCTGTCTTTCTGTCTCTCTGACAAGTACATGTGCCCTATAGCAAAAATCTCTCTATAAATATATAAAATGCTTTGTCATTGACATAGGAGTCTGTTTTCAAATGTTAGTAAACCATTATTACTGTTTTTTATATCAGAAAAGAGTCTTCCTGAGGCCAACAAGTGGCATGGTGGTTGAGGTGCTAGATTCCCACATGATCAACCATGGTTCATGTTCTGGACCTGGTGGTTTCCTTTCTCACTTCCTCTCTCATCAAATTAAATAATGATAATAATAATAACAATAAATTAATTTTTTTTTAAAAAGAGTCTTTCTAACAATAGCAAACATCATTGTGAACATTTTTATAGTTGGGCTCTAAGTAGCACCATATGGTTATTTACATAAAAATCCTTATACAAGGCACTGTAAAAAGAAAAGTACTGTTTTTATCCTGGAAAATAATTTTTCTTTTGACACAATACTTTTTTAAAAATAAAAGTTTTTTTTTTTTTACCCTTCTGAAGAATCTATAGAAGAAGCCTCTCTTTGGTCTGGAAGCTAGGTGACATGTTTTCTCTTCTGTACCTAATGACAATTTTTTCTCATTTTCACTTTCATTGATGTCCTCGAAACATCCAGATTCAATCATCTGTGCACACAAAAAAGCAGGGCAGAGAAGTCACAAAGAGACAACCTGTGAGGTCAGTTGGTGGTTTCCCAGTACCATTAACTCCCATCTAGAACCTGGATTCGGCGCTGGGTGCCCCAGAGATCCCAGGAACATTCCAATTCCCCTTCCCTGGATTCCTACTTCCCTTGCTTCCCAGCTTCTTGTTGGGGTAAGAAACACGGCTTCCTCTTCCGCTATCTCTGTGATATCTACAAAGCAGGTAACTACTGTGGGCATTAGGACTATTAACTAACCCCGCTTAGGGACTCAGGTGTGTCAGGCAAAGCCCTAACCACAATGGCTACTGTCTGTCTTTTTCCTGTTATTTTATTTATTTATTTTTTTTTGGAGAGTTTTTTGCCATAGGGTGCGTGCGAGCATCAGACAAACAGAGAGAGACAGAGAGACAGAAAGTGAAAAAATCACCCCCCCAGGGGGGCTGGCCACGCCACAATCCCTTCTTCTCCATTCTCCTGTCAGGATCTTTGCCATGCACGCACATGCACCCGGTGTGAGTTTAAGCCACTGGGTCCGGGACGTGAACCGTGGTCGACTACATGGGAGTCCAGCAACATAGCCATTAAGCTAACTGCTGGTCCCCTCTTCTTCCTGTTATTGAGATCAGGGGTAGCTGCTATGTTTCTGGGTAATTTTGATATAGTCCTGGATTGCCTGTGGTCTAGTTCTATAGTCAAGTCTTGCATATTTTTACCTCCCAAATAAATTCTCTCTCTCGGTGTCTCTCTCTCTCCTTTTGTCAGTGCTGAATCTAACATAAACTGCTATGATGCTGCGCTGGAAAGAGCAGTACCTCATTCTGCCAGGGGATGGAGACACACCCCGTAACAAACTGAGCATAGAAGTAGTCATCTGTGGTATCCAGGTAGACTCCTTTCACGACAGAGAATTGCCCAATGTCTAAGATATCCTTACAATAAACTGCATGAGGCTGTGCACCAAGAACAAAGAGAAACATCAACTTATAAGATTATTAGAGTAACTCTTAGTTTCCTCAATTACAAAAAAAAATAAAATGCATATGAAATCGATGCATACACACTACTCCAGCTGTTTCTTTGCCAAGTCCCTCGTTTGAATCATTGTCTAATTCATATAGGTGTGTCCTCCAAAGTAGCAGTTCTCTAGCTCTTCCCATATAGAACGTGTAGTGTAGCAGATCCTGTAGATGCTGTCTGCTCCAGCTTACTACTGGCTCGCTTTCTGACCCTTTCTCTCTCACACACACATACACACACCCCTCCTGAGGGTCCCAACTGTTCTGCATTTGAAAGTGGATGCCAGGAGGAAGGGTGGGATGGGTGCTATTGTTGGAAGATGTAGAGCAGAACTGGAGGACTGGACTGTTCTGGAAAGAGATGGAGATATCAGCCTTGGGATTCACTAGTGACAATTTCCACCCCTAGCTTCAACCATAGATGTCCTTTCCATAAAGCACCTGCTTGAAGTCTAAGTGAAAAATGGAAACTCAAAATTCTTGCTCTCCTTCTCAGAGAGTTCATCTAGTGGCTTCAAGAGGCATCTCAGTCTGCAAGGTGCTCCAGTCCTCCTGTTCCATAGATCTCTCCTTGGGGATAGAAACCCAGCCCTGCAGCCCCAACCTGGCACTGCTGCTCTCAGGCACCAGGGGTCAGACAAGCAGGCAATGCCCACCAAGGCCTGGGCCTCACCTCCCATCAAGATAGTGGCTTGCAGGGAACCAGCAGTTAGCGTAATGGCTATGTCGCTGGACTCCCACATAGTCGACCGCGGTTCGTGTCCCGGACCCGGTGGCTTAAAACTCACGCCGGACGCGTGTGCGTGCGTGCCCAAGATCCCGAGAGGAGAATGGAGTAGAAGGGATTGTGGCGTGACCATCCCCCCTGGGGGGTGATTTCTCGCTTTCTGTCTCTATGTCTCTCTCTGTCTGGCGAGCGCACGCGCCCTACAGTGAAAATCTCTCCAAAAAAAAAAAAAAAAAGATAGTGGCTTGCACACTGGAGTGAAGGAACAAAAGCACAGAACGCTGAAGCTCTGGGAATCATCGGCTCAGGCAAAGGCACTCTACAGTTCTGAAAACACCTTTGTCCATGTGCCAGAACTTGAACAGTACAGTGAGTGCTCTAATCAATGATGTTCTGTTGGTCACTGGTCAACACTGCTCTTAGAGCAGCCGCTATTCATTCTTTTTATCCGAAATGGAGGTAAACCTCAGGGGGTGGTTCGGAAGAAAATATCTTGAGATTTTGGGATTTTGGTCCAGGCCAAAGGCCCAAACTCCATATTGCTCCACATACTCATGGAGTTTCAATTCCACAAATGAAGCAGACTGATATGTTATCGACTCTACAGTAACTATGAAAAGGCTCATTAAGGGTTCATTTGATTAAATTCAGGAGGACAAAAATAGAGTCTGAGACAGCCCCAGAACTCTACCCATCTCAGGACTGACTAGATGTCATTACAACCTCAGTTGAAATGTTCCTCCTCAAAGACTGCCTGGGCCTGACTTCCCCTTCCTGTCCTCAAGCTGCCTCCAGGGCCTGGTAGAAAGGAGTTTCTCTAGACCAGAGAGCCCAGCTGAAGTCCTGGTGGGTATTCTTCAGTGTGCTCGTCTGTTTTATCACCTATCCATGCTGGCTAGGATGGACTCAGCAAAGAGCAGAGACCTTGTTTGTCTTGTATTTTGTTCACCTAGAGCTCTGTTTGGCAGATGGTAGGCATTCCATAAATATGTAATGCATGAATTAATCCCAAGAAAGCAGCTACTACCATAACATATATTACAAATATGAAATAAATGTAGCAAATCTTGACCAAGTCCTACAACTAAAAATACTTTAATTTGTACATCATTCTACAATGACTATAGTGGACTGTGACTGGACAAATATGCAGTGTATTCATGATGGGAAAATTCATTAGATATGCTATAATGATACACAATGATTTAATGTAAAAAATAAAAAAATTAAAAAAAAAAAAAAAGGGATAGGGACCAGCAGTTGGCAAAATGGCTGTCACTGGACTCCCATGTAGTCAATTCCGGTTCAAGTCCCAGACCCGATGGCTTAAACTCATACTGGGTGTGTGTGCATGTGTGCTCAAGATCCCAAGAGGAGAATGGAGGAGAAGGGATTGTGGTGTAGACATCCCCCCTGGGGGGGTTATCTCTCATTTTCTGTCTCTCTGTCTCTCTCTGTCTTTCTGGCGAGCTTGTGTGCCCTATAGCAAAAACCTCCCCCCCCCAAAAAAAAAATGATAAACAAAAACCAAAAAACTGAA